AACTTCAGCCTCTGCTCTCATTCCTCACATGTTCTATGTGCCGTAGGTCACAGTAAATGTTCATTAAACTCTATAAACATGGGGGCGATTGAACATTTGAATTCATTGATCCGGTTGTTGTGTCCCAATGCTTTTGTGTTGGAGCAGCAAGTGCTTCCATCGACTGGAGCTATTGCTAACTGCATGTTAACTTGACCTTGAAATGGTTTAAAGAGCTTCTAAAATAGAAAATAAGCTTAAAAAGACAAAGCTGGTGTAAAACAAGACGTTTCACTGCAGGTTTTTCTCTCAGCTGCATTTTGGTTCAAGCAAGTTGTTGTTTTTTCACTGGAGTTAGTTGTGGTAATTAGAGCAGCCAGAACCTTTACCAAGTAAGAGTTTTACTCATAATACAATAAAAAAGTACAGTTTAAACCTGACATTATGGTTGAATTCAAGGCGTATGAATACTATTGTGTCTTATTTATATATATTGCTAGAACTCCTTTTTAACAGATTTATTCTATGAGAATCAATAAGACTCGTTCTCTAGTCTAGACGATGTCCAACTTATTCCATCAACTGATCCTTTCCCTTTGCATCAGTTGGCTGCTCCTCCCTAACCTTGATCGGGCCCCTCAGACGCAGTTGTTTGGCCCCCGTCTGCAACCCCATCCTCAGAAATCCCAACCTCTTCCCCTTGCCAGTTCATTTGCCTCATGGGGGGGTGCTCAAGGTCAAGCCTGGAGCAGGCAGGGGTTTGCATTAATTACACACACACACACACACACACACACACACACACGCCCAGGCGAATCCATGCAGATTAATCCCCAGGCTGAACCATGCTATTCCATTAATGTCCCAGCCCCGGTAATTAGTGCATTAGTGAGAAGTGTGAGCGATGACTTGGAGATGACACCACCTTTTAATTGGTGTCACGCTCCTCTCCTGTTTGCCAGTGATTGATCTTAATGTTGACGTCACCATGGTAATCACCCCGAGATGAATGGGACGCGGGCTTCGCCGACATGTTCGCCGACATGTTCGCCGACATGTTCGCCAGTAAATCAACAAAATGCAAGTTATGAGATGAAAGTGGTGACGGACTAAATGTCTTAGTCTGGGGGGAGACTTTGGGACATTGGCCACCGCATGATGAGGTTCATTACATCATCATTCTGTAACTTTGATTAAATAATTAAGAGCCGATGACAGCGGTTGCAATTCCCCCCACTGTTGCTCTTTCTCACCATTTCTTCACTGTTTTCACAAAAAGCGACTTTTCAGGATTTATCGCCTTCAGAATAAATGAAATTTAAACTGAAAAATGATTTATCAGCCACACTCAATAGAAACAGAAATAATGAGGTTTTTTTCATTCCGTTTGCTTTACATTAGGAGCTTTTTAAAACTTAACTGTTGATGTCGGTTTAAGAAGCAAA